GTGCTTTTCTGTTCATAGTCTCAGCCCTTTTCTGACTTGGTTTTGGTTTCCTTTGATTTAGCTCCGTGTCATTCCTATTACTTTAGTGGAGACCTTTCTATAGTAACACCAATTTTTCTAATGCAATGTAAACATTTCTTTCCTTGGGAACCTTCAGCTCTTCTCTGAAAATCAGACACCTGTTAGTGCTGTTTTATACACTATTTTTGTTGATAGTTGATAATTATTTTCGCTTTAACGTATCAACTTTGCTCAGCATACTTTTCACATCTTGTTCTGAGCTCCCTTTTACTGTAGTATAAACCACAGGGTGCAGGAGGGTCGGATCCGCTGTGAAACCCCAGGACATAGTGACTATTTTCTGACTTCTGTGTCCTAACTCCATTGTTTCCTAGCACTGATTAAATATACTTCTTATTCCTCCGTAAGTTTCTCTTTGCCCCTAAGGGCCTACAAGTTCACTACCGTATTTGGTTGTGTGTTTTTAAAAGTGTATTCTGCTTGGTACTTGTGTTGTTATGACGATGAGGTCCATTCGTAGCTTCCCTTGTTCAAGTTGCTTAGCCCTTAGGTCCCTTGAGTATTGCTTTCCCTTCCATTCTATTCTCATTATCTACCCAAACTCTATTTTCACTATACATGCCTCGGCAGAATTTCAGCTGATTTAAGTCAGTTCCAGGTAATTTTCAATCCCTGTCTCCAAAGAGATAGTTTCTTCCCTAGAATTGTCATTGTCTCTTTTTCCAATATTCCTCTTATTTCCTGAAACCTTTCTATTGGTTGGATTTGCTCGTGGAATTTCATGCTATAGAATGTTACACTTGTACCTGGAATAGTTTGGCTGGTTGTAGTTTTTTTTCACATACACAGCTGGGGGACGTGGTAGGCATCACTCCGTTCTATCCAGTGCTACTAGATGTCTGAGGATAGTACTATTTCCATCCTCTTTAAATAGCTTCGTATTTTCTTCCTGCCACCCAAGGAATTTATCATATTTGTAGTTCATATTATAATTAAGGTTCTTGTTAGTATTGATTATTCTATTCCAAATTTTGTAGTAATTTTCTAGTAGTGTCATTATACAGATTGAAATTTACGATTCAAGGAAACTGAAGCTTCTTTTTGGAATTACTACTAGATGTTTTATTTCAGCCTCCATCTATTTCCCTTTTAACCCATTTGCCTTTCATTTCCTCCATTTGATTTTGCTGCTTTACATTTTTGTTTTCATTTCTGTAACTGTTTTTTCTCCTTTCCTGGGATTTTCCAACTTAACCTCCTTTTTCTTTGCTGATCCTTTCTAAGTCATAAGCCTGTTTACATAAGCAGTCATTTTTTTTAACTGTGAGGCTGCCCTTTAACCTAGGAATCTTTTTCTTCCAGTGCTTTTCCAGTTCATTCCATTTGTCTTCGTGCAGAGCCCTGTTCCTTTTTATTATCTTCAACTATAGTTTTACTAAGCCAGCTGTAAGGATTTAATGTGGAGCAGGGCTCAAGGCAGGCCCACGTTCTAAGCTAGCGGGAATTTGAAGGTAAACCTTTAGTCTTTCCCTCTTCATAGCCTCCAGTCAGCCAAACACCTCAGGCACACATCCCTGCCACAATGGCCTGTGGAGGGTGACCCCCCCCACCCATCCAACCCTGCTTCCTGTCCGACAAGTTCCCATGCCACGCCAGGGCTAGGCCTCTGTGCGCCCCACTCTGCCCCTTTTCAGCAGCGTGAACCTCCGTTTCAAGGCATCAAGCGTTCCCAAGTTTTACCAAAGCTCGTGTTTCCTTAGCTTTATGAGCCAGGTTACACCTGGGGGTGGGGCCCGCCTGGCCAACTCTGTAGACAAGATCCCCTTTTTAGTCACCCATGCCTTCCTCTGTCAGGTAATCACCACCACCTGCAAAATCTCGCCACATGTTGTTCTCGCTGCCGTCACCTCCCCTGGCAGCTGTCCTGGCACAAGACCGTCTCCTCCCACCATCAGACACGAGTGTTCACTGGTGTCCTCACCACATCCTGCACCTCCTGGTGGGTCTCGGCCCAGTTCGCACGGAGCTCACTTTTGTATATACTCGCCACAAGGCACTGGGAGGAGCTAAGTAAAATGGGTGAACAGATGCAGAAGAATTTTCCCTTCTTCCTGCCCCGATGGTAACAGTTACAGGTATCAAGTCTCAACAGGAAACTACTCCTTAAAAGGGAGAGTGCCCTGCAAATCCCCAGGGGAGGATTTTGCTGCTGTCAGCGGTGCATACTTGTGCGCCACCACCCTGCCTGGTCTTTTTTCAGAACTGTGTTGGAAGGCATCTGTTTTACTAAAAAGCATGCTGATTTTTTTTTCCTGCCTTCCACCAACCAGGTTTAATGACCTCCTCTTACGCTGCCGAGAACTCGACACTTGGACCCAAGACCTTGCCCTTCCAGCTGTGGTGTGGCTTTCTGGCTTCTTCAACCCTCAGTCTTTCTTAACTGGTAAGGGTGGAGGAAGGGCAGCTCGGACGCCCTGGGGAGCCCAGAAGTCCCGCCTGGCTTTTCCTGATGATTCTGCCTGCCCTGCCCACCAATCACCCTTCCAGCGGCAGCCATCACAGAGAGGCTGCAAGAGTAACAGTGGCAACTACAGTGGAAATAAAGTTGCAGCAGGTGGCGAGCAGCAGGGGCCAAGGGTTCGGGGGCAAGTGCAGAAGCCAGCAGGGACAGAACAGAAACAAATCGCTGTTAGACAGAATCTGTTCCAGAAACAGGTGATAAGCTAAGTGGCCTTAGTTTGCCAAGCAAAATACCCAGGACCCTAAAACTTCCCGTGGCACTACAGAACGCCTCGGCCAACTGGTGGCTCCTCTGAGCCCTATTTCTGTACAGCTTTTTCACTGTACTCCTGTTCCTGCAGCAATCATGCAGACCATGGCTCGAAAAAATGAGTGGCCCTTGGACAGAATGTGCCTGACTGTGGATGTTACCAAGAAAGTGAAGGAGGATTACAGCCACGCCCCGAGGGAGGGTGCCTATCTCCACGGGCTCTGCATGGAAGGTGAGCCGCCGGGGTGCCTGGGGACCCTTTCTTGCTAGGTCCAAGACGGCATCTGCCCTTGTTGCATAGGATCTACACAATCCTAACACAGTGGTTTCATGCTAGGGGATGCGCTTCCTTTCTTTCTAACAATGTTAAGTGCCAATGTCTGCAAGCCAACTTGAGCCATCTGGGGTGATGACTGCCACTTAAATTTCACACATACATTTGGTGTAATGCCCCAGGGCAACTCAAGACCTACACTGCATTATTTTGCTTTTCAATATAAAGCTTAGTAAATTTGCTGTAATTTTTACTACCAGACTTTTCCAAACTTTTAAGATGCCCTTTTATACTGCTAATTCTAATTCTCTAATTCTCTAATTCTAATTCTCTAGTTCTAAGAGAATTAGACCCAAGATTTTCCAGATTTATCTGACCATGCACTATTTTGCAGGACATCTAGCCTCACCAGGATGTGCCCCAATTCAGATCTCTAAGGGCAGGGTCCGAGATGCGAATGATTCAATGAACTTGCTCTAAGAAAGGAAGGTGGTGGGAGGGAACATGCTGAGCCTGGACAAATTCTTATATGAACTGTTTAACCATTATACACGCGGCAATAATGTATGTCTAGGATAGCTAAGTTAACCCCTCGCTCTCAAATCTCAGCCATGGCCAGCAAGGTCAGGATGCCACGGACAAGAAAGATGTGATAAAATCAGAATGTTTATTGTCTCAGTTAGAGTATCAGTACAAACGTGCCACACAGTCGGCAACTGTTATTTCTGCCATAGGTGCCAGATGGGACATCCAGTCTGGAACTATTGTCGAAGCCCGCCTCAAGGAGCTGACGGCCATGATGCCGGTCATCTTTGCCAAAGCCATCCCCGTGGACAGACAAGAAACCAAACACACGTATGAATGCCCTGTGTACATAAACAAAATGAGGGGCCCCACCTACATCTGGACCTTCAGGCTGAAGAGCAAAGAGAAGACAGCCAAGTGGGTGCTGGCAGGCGTGGCTCTGTTGCTGGAAGCGTAAGGTGGCCCCTGCACTGAGACTTGTGTTGCTCCCGCCTGCACCAGAACACAGTGAGAGTTTCTTTCCTGTTGTGCCACTACACTGTGGCTGTTAATTCTACTTAAGGGCCCAAAACATTCCAGCGTTGTAATTTTTTAGTAACTTACATGTGCATTCAGTTTTTAAAACAGTATCCTTAAGCAGTGGAGAAGGGGACAGAAAGCAAATACAGAAAGTAATACTAGACACGTGTTCAGGAAGTATGTTCGTGACTTTTACCTTTCCAGGGTTCCTCTCTGAAACCCCATCTCTCAACACAAAAATACAGTCTCTCACGTTTTCACCAAGATTCCTCTGAACCTCAAAAACCGTGCAGCTTGAAGGAAGGGGAGTTTTAGATCTTATGGATAGTAAACAAAATCTTTTTAAATTAAAACATAGCCCTTAAATTCTTTCAGAACTAGAAGCAGCAGCAAGTCACAAAGGAAAAGCTAGGCACTCCTAGGCCTCCAGTGTCTGTAACATCACAGTCCACTTTTTGTTTAGTTTTAATAAAAACAAACCTTAATAACGCTCATGTCATGCGGTTAATTGCACTTTGTAATTCAGGGAACATTCTTTCGGTACAAATGACCCATAGCAGGATAAACTACATGGTTTGAACCAATCACTCACGACACGACAAACTAAAGGTAATAATGCCAGTAAAGCATGGCATAGGGCAGCAGTTTGGTGAGTAAAGGTAATTTAACAATATCAAATGAAAGAGCTGCTTATACAAGGTCTTCTCGGTAACTTACCTGAACTTCAATTCCACCCCATTTAAACTGCGCTGCTGAGTCATACTTAGAACAATATAGATCTGTGTGCACCCGGATATAGATTCCTCTGCTTTGCTATTTTGCTGAAAAATCTTTTTAAGCATATACACAATTTTTTAAAAACAGTATTCAGAAAGTCAACTCTACAAAGAATTTCTGTATAAAAATACAACTTTTAGAAATCTCAGGCACAAATGGTATCCACGTCTTCCTGGAGCATGCTCAGTCGGCTCGTTGCTTTTCCTCTCATTTGTCTTTCACCAGCTGCTTCTGTAAGCTGCAAGAAAGATGAGAGGTATCTGATAAGTGGTTAATCAGATGGAGGTAAAGAACCAAAAAACCCTGAAGAGTACCGGCCCCTATCTCCTGACACTCAAAATCCTGGCTCCTTCTAACTGCATGCTGGATACTGTGTGTCCCAAGGGTGACACTCTTCACTTCTACACTCCGAAACCAAGCTTCAGAGTTCCTTACAGAAATGGCACTCCTAGCCGGGCATGGTGGCTCACACCTGTAATCCCAGCACTCGGGAGGCTGAGGCAGGAGGATTGCCGCACATTTGAGGCAAGCGTGGGCTATAGGACAGCCTGAACTATACACCTGTCTCAAACCGCCCCCAGAAGAAATGGCTCATGTAGCCCATGGTTTTGTCCTCATCCCAATGCACACAGCCTGAGATCTCCTCTCTGCTCGGTGTGGTTAATTTGCCTGTCTCTGGCTCTTCGCAGTCCCCCCTCAGCCGGCCCTTTCCTTCACTTCTCAGAGCACAAGGAGAATTTTCGGTGAGGAGCGAATTTCCCAATGGGGCAAGTAACGTTTCTGAGCTTCTTCAATGCGGATGGACACAGACTGGAGGTGTTTTCTATAACCAGCCATGCAATGAGGCAACAACTACTTGCTAGAGGATCTTCCACAACAGATCACACGTCCACTTTTAAACTGCCGGAGACTCACCTTTCCAGATACTCCTTCACGTTATCGTAGCCGTAAAACTTGGCGAGATGAATGAGGATCCCTGTGGCACAGCGGCCGTCACGCTTCCGGCAGTAACTGCAGTTGCAGATCCCACGGCAGGGAGGACACATCCAATCCTAGAAGATGGTGGCGGACATGTAGCTAAAGGCTCTGGCAAGACGAGGGTCTCTGACCAAGCCTGGCTCAGCTGGGCCTCTGCTCCGGTCTTTACCACACTGCCTTTCAAGTATTCATCCCAGGGCACGCGCCCTCCACCTGAGGGGAACCAACCAGCGCGTCGCCTCCCTTCCCCAGGGACCCATCAAGGCCCGACAGTCCATGTCACTGAGAAACAAGGACTGTTTCAGACAAGACCAGCTCCGTGTGATTAGCGGAGGCCCCTCCTCCAAGCTGAGGGAGACTTCAAGTGCATTAAGCCAAGCGTAGGACTCTGTAAATGCCCAGGTCACACACCTTCGTTTCAGGAACACGAAGTATGAATCTCACCGCACCCGTTAGGTTAAATCACTTAACCTGAGCAGTATGTATGTAAACTGGGGACAGTACGTGTACTCCTAAATACTCGTGCAGAAGCGATCACACAATGAAGAGAAGCAGTTAATTAAGAGCAGACCCCAGAAACCAAGGCTACTCAGGTTTAAGGTCATATACACTAACCATGGTACTGCCATCTCATTTCCAGAGAGAACTAAAGCATAAGGAGATTCTATACCTACTACTTTAGATGGTATTAATTATAACTGAAGGTAAAATAATTGCATTAACAGATGTGAGACCCATTTAGTGCCGCCAGACACACAGGAAGCACTTAGTGCTGTGATGCTGTGATATGCCTGCCCTGGCCTGGCCAAGAAAATGACAGGTCAGTCACAGGGTTAACTCGCACAAAACCAGACAACCGTACAGAAGTTTAGCTCAGACACTGGAAAACCCAACGCACACTTCTCCCATCCTGTTAGCCAGCTTGTTCCCTGTCCAGAGGAAATGCTATTTTCATTGCTCCTAACCTTAGGGGTCAAAGGAAGGGCAAGTGGTGAGGGCTCTATGAAACCCAGAGCCCTGCAGATCCCTAACTTCAGAGCTTGCTTTCCTTCATCCATAGTTTCTCCCAAATGCCAGCACTGCTCCTACCGGGTCCAGCAACGCCGATCTCACATCCTCGCCATAGCGATTGCGCAGGCACGGCCCACAGAACTGGCCTCGCACCCCACCGCAGCTCTGGTTCCGACACACCGTCTTGGTATCGATGGTCTTCTGCCGACACTGATGGCAGGTGTTACCCTACAGAGAACGGTGTGAGCAGGGAACGTGGGGACCCGCGCAGTGATGCCTGTGAGGCAGGTGCTTCATATATATTACCACATGCACAAAGCACTCCCTCCCTCCCAGAGGTAGGATTATATCCCCGGGAGAACCACAGCAGCCTCTGCCAGATGTGAGCACTTCCATTCTGGGGCCAGCAGCACACATCAGAGGCAATCGGAAAGCCCAGGAGGAATAAAATAATCAGAGGGACAGGAAGAGTGCCCAGAGGAGACTGAGGCAGGCACAGCGGAGCCCCCAGGAAGCAACAGGCGACTGAGTGTGATGAGCCCAGGCTACACCAATCAATGCCAGCCTACTGCTAGCCCTGGGTACCTGCAGTGTAAAATCTTCTGCTTTTAAAATGTTAACATTTCAATTAAAAACACTTCACTACTACCTTAAGACCGCGTCCCATCACTTATCAAAAAGAAGTGACGCAGACAAAGCCACCCTTTAAGTCACCATTTAGAAGACCCATTTCCTACCAACCAAAGATATTCTGCCAAACTTCTATTTTTCTGTGGCTGTATTAACCACAATACACTATTTGTTCTATGTAAATAATAAAAGTGTAATGATAAAAATACACTTCTCTAAACTACGCTTCCCCCCAGATTATCTGCATGCCGGGGGGGCCTCTTGTACTGAAGAGGATCACTGCACTCACCACCTTCCTCTTCCCAGCTCTTGCTCACCCTTGACCTTACAACTGAAAGCCTGCTTCTACGTCCTCGGGCAGATAGGACAGGATCCAAGCCCTCACAGTTTAAAAATGAGGGAGGATTTCAAACACCAATGCTTTGGATACCCTTGTAAGAATCACAATCACACAAGTCATTAATATCAATTACCAGAACTTTATCATAGATTTTGTCTCGAACAGTTATGGCAACGTTTTCCAAGTCCTCTTCAGTGATATCCTCCACTGGCCGAAAGGAAGACACACGCCGGCGTTGTCTGTACCTCTGGCATTTCCCCTACAAAATGAACAACAACAGAACCTGGAATAAGACACATGGAGCCGTTCAAACGTAAGTTAACTTTCTTGAGCTCCAACACCACTAATGTTAGCTGAGGTGTTTCCATTCTGTTTCCCTGGAAACTTTCCTCTGTGCAGTTGTTTACTGTGCTCCTGCCTCAGGCCAAGCTCCCCTCTTGGCACAGAGATGCGGCCACAAGAGGCTTGGACTTCGGGATTCTCTACTGAAAACTCCGGAAATAGAGAAGTGAACCACACTGCACAGCCAAGCCCACATACGGGAAAGTTCCCAGTTTCTCCCTCCACACTGCAGGCCCTGGAGAGGTCCTGGAAAGGTCCCATCCTGAAGCAGAAAAATCAAGAGAAAGCTCTGAAGGTCCTACATGCAAACCATGACACTGCCTGGAGCTGTTCACAGGCCTTTTTGTGTCTACCAGCAATCAAGCAGATTTTAGCTCATTCCAAGTAAACAGTGAGCAGCTTCTCGGCTCAGTTTAATACAGGACTCTCTCAGACTAGGCTTCTTCTCAAAACGTGGTCCTAGGGGCATCAGCATCACCTGGGAACACGGTGGAAATGCAAGTTCTCAGGTGCTGGGGCTCCTGAGTCAGAAACTGCATCTGTAGCCAGCCCTAGGGGACTCGGTCAGTACACACTCGGTCTGGGGATCACGGGATTAAACCAATAGTAATTCATTTATTAGGAAGTACCCCACTAATAGTCTTCCTTCTTCTAAAACTATAAAACTCTTCTGCAAATTTTGTGGCAGAGACAGTGAAGTTTTCTAGAGCAAACTTCTCTGGGGGCCGCGCACTTCGAGCTGGGTTCATGCGCCTGGTGATCTGTCCCTCCGAGAAGGCCCGCCGCACTGTTCTCTTCTTCTGAAACCAAGAGCACAGACAGATCCAGTTGGATAAAAGCCATCTGGCAACTGATTACCAAACACCAGTGTGTCTGAATCATTAGGAGGAGTTCCACTTACAGAAGCCGAGGTCGGGGTTCGAACCGGGAAGAAATCTGGCATTGAGTTCAATTCCGCCAATAACTGAGCAAGCTAAGGTTCAGAATGAAAGAGAGGATCTGATGTAAGTCAGTGCTGCCAGGCCTAGGTCATCCAACACCTCTCCCGAGGCTTGGACTTTGCTAGTGAAGTAGTTTATGTGAACCTCAACATGGGTGACACTTTTGAAGCTGATGCCATCATTTGAGTCATTGTTATGCCCATCCCTTACCCAGGGGGACAGTATGACACAATGAACAAAGGAGTGTCTGGGGCTCAAGCCCCAGGGTCAGTTCCTGACTCAGCCTCTAATTAACAGTGTGTGACCCAGGACGAATTTTACACACCCAAATCTCAAGTGTAAGTGCGTCCAAAATCCAAAAAGCCTAACTAGAAGACTTTAATGGTAACACTGGGCGTGGTGGCACAGGCCTACAATCCCAGCACTCGGGAGGCTGAGGCAAGAGGATCGTTGCGAGTTTGAGACCAGCCTGGGCTACAAAGTGAGCTCAAGGCCAGCCTGAACTGCACAGCGAGACCCTGTCTCAAAATGACAAAAAGAAAGAAAAAGATTTTAATGGTTAGAGTTCAAAAATCACTTCTCATCAATAAAAATAATTTCTGAAGATATTCCCAGATGAGCACTTCATTAACACCAAGCAAAGGGCATGGATATGCCAATCAGAGCGTTTAATTAGGGTTAATTTTAAATTATACAAATACAAGGGTACCACTAAAAAAATCACCTAGAGCATAGTTCTTACTGAGAAGATAAAGTGTTAAAAATTTCCCTTAGCCAGGCACAAATGTTTCTTAGATAAAAATTACCCTAAAAGTAAGCTTTCAAATTTTGTCATATGATTATACGTGCAGAATCACCATTTATACTTTTTAAAGGAAAATATGAAAAATACACCAAAAAGGGAAATTAAGAATTTAAAAAAATTCTGTCAATACAAAATTATGAAGCAAACAGTGATTCCAGAAATGACCAAATGAAACTACTGACCATATATGGAAAAACCAAATATACATAAGAAAAATTCGCTTTGTCCTATTAATGGTTCTGACAAAGATACTTAAAAATGAATGAGATGGCTTAACTCCTAGACCTTCCCCATGCAGAGCAGTGTCCCGGCAAAAGCCGCCTGCTGCCCTGCCCACGGCGACTCTTCCTGGACTCGGTGACATCCCGTTCCCTCTCTGCTGCTTTCTGCTGGGGACAGCGCAGTCGTTCAGCCCCGCTCACCCCCAACAGAACTATGGATACGGAACTTAAACTGAGAAGCGCTGAGCAGCGCGACAACGGCCTCCTCACAGGGGCGACAAGTGAACGGTCCTGGGAGCCTCTTTCTAGTCCCAAAGCACAGCGGACGGAATAATAATGCTTTAGGTTTTGAAAAGGAAAAACACACACAATCCCCAAAGCTCCTTTTTCCCCAAAGAAGCCCAAGCGGCAGCAGCTCTAGAGGCCGCTGCCCCAGCCTCAGCACCTGCTCTCAGAGCCCGGGCGTCCCCGGCGCCGCCGCGGGGCCTCACCATGGCCTTGTTCTCCTTGATGTTCATGGTCCTCTTCAGCAGCGCGTCCGAGCCCTCCTGGCTCTCGTCCCTGGAGTCGTCCTCAGACTCAGAGTCGGAATGCCCCCTTTCCATCGCCTGTCTGCAGCTTTTCTTTCTTCCAATCATTTTTGCACTGTCCTGGAGGTATGAGCTAGAAAACAACTCGGAGGAACTATTTTTCTCTGGCTTCTTGGCCAATTTCTTAGAGGGAAACTGAAAGGCTACCCGAAGGCCGATGCTGCTGGTTCGAGGTCTGCCTCTCCTGGGTGCGGGCTCCTCCTCTCCGTCGTCCTCCTCCTCGCTCATCAGAGAGGCTTTGCCATTGTCACTCAGGTCTGACTCCACAAGCTAAGGCAATACAAGAACAAAGACACTGTCTAGGACAGATCCCAAACCCATCCATTGCGAAGTACTCTGATACTACTTTAGAAGAAACAGTGCAACACCTCTTCCCATGACTGGCTTCCTGAGCTCTTCAGTTATATACACACAAATTTTTTTTTGATGAATGAAAACAAAGCACAGGCAATCGATTACTGAACTGTGCACTGTCACGCTGCTGACACACTGTGTCCCATCGGGGAAGGAGCCAAGCCATGAGCAATCACCCTCACATGGGCTCCTCCACAGTGAACAACCAAGCTGGCACACCCGGAAGCTAGGTCAAGTGAGGAAGAGACAAAGAAAAGGTAAGCACACAACAGAGTTAGCTTTAGATAAAAATAGGGAGCATGGGTGGGGAATACCAAGCAGTTCCAACCAATAGCAGGAACGGAACACACAAAACTAAGGCCAAGAAAGGAGACTTCAGCCCAGTGGAGTCACCAAGAGCAGGCAGAGGGCCTACCGGTGGAGTTAGCGGGGACAGCCATCCTCAGGGCCCTGGGAACCCTAAGAAGCAGAGTCCCCAAAGGCAGTCTCCCTTTTCTGTAACTGTCAGAACTACACGGGGAAATCAAGTCGGACAGCTCAAGAAATTCTCACCCTAGTCTCCCTCCAAACTTCCAAACACCCCATGTACAAATCTCGCCAGCATTCAAACCTCACTTGGTTTTCAAATGAGAACTCAGAACAGGTAACATCATGCAGGTGACAGTGAGGTAATACCTGAGATATGCCTGGGACTCGGCAACAGTACAGAGAGGTTTACTCAAGGTCAAGGTCATCTAAGCGTCCTTTCCTTACAACAAGGGGGAAATCTGAGCCTGGGAACAGCACGCTGTCCTGGAGTCCTGCCGACGGGCCACCACAGGTACAGCAGTGACAGGATGGACCAAGGGCCCAGTCTACACACTGCCTCCTCTTCAGTGACTCCTAAATTCTAGTCGGACTCAAGGCAGAAACGAGAGGAAGAGTGCAGATGACTGCCCACCCTGGCACCACTCCACACCATGCTGTGGGGAAGTAAGAGCGGCTCATATTCCAACTTTTCACATTAACAGCTTCACAATTCAAAATGGGCGTGGCAGGAGGCATGGCAAGGAATGCAGTCTTAGTGGATGCTGCTGGGGAGAACTTCAGATTTGCTTTATTTATCTATCAACTTACCATCTACCCCACCTCTCTGGACCAAGGATGTGGAAGTGCTCACTCCAAAGGATGATGATGTAAAGAAAGAGCAAACCATCAGCACTGGCCCCAAGGTGAACCCCAGGGGAAGAGCATGAGGCCAGCAGTTCAGCTGTGACCGTTTCCCTTCTGGCCAGCGACAAGAAACCAAGGTCATGGCAGCGTCCCACTGCAAGGATATCGTGAGCATGTGCAGGACACTGGGCCACAAGGCAACAGTGCTTGTTTTCTGAATGAATTCTGAAATAAACATCTGCAGGGGACCTGCACTGAGCTATGCATTACATCACAGTGCAGGCTGCACATCACAGCTCACACCCCAGATGGAGAGACCTGAGTGCGCAGAAAGACTTTCGGGTAACTGCCCCTCACTGGAAATACAACGTGTTCCGGCTAACTCGACGTCACTTAGCTGAAGGACAGATCAGTACCTCACTAAGAGATGATACCCATTAGGGTCTGAAAGATCTTAAGTCTTACTGACAAGGAACTGAAGACATGCTGGGCAGAACCCACGAACTACCAGACAAACAGCTTCTGTAAAAGGGGGTGAGGGGAAATTGGGAGAGTGGGGGAAAAGCCATAGCAGAGCTGGGAGCCTCTACACTGGCCCAGCTCTATGCTGCTCTTTAGGGAAGAAAGTTATCGTCAAACAAGCCTAGCATTACGGCTTTCATTCCGAGTCTCCCCAGGAAGGTGAGGCGCAGAGCCCACCAGTCACGGCTCCTTATCCTGCCGCAGGTTCCGTGCCAAAGCCCGCCCCAGGGGCTGCTGACTGTGGGCAGCTCCAGCCAGCCTCACTGTGACACCGAAGCAGGAATCCGTGTATTTATCTCTTGGATAAACATCAAAATTTTTTCTTCATTTAGAAGACATTTTTGTGCCCAAAACAAATCCTGCAATTTTTGTGTTTTTATGGATCAGCTACAAACTAATGTAAATTCTTCAAAAAAAAAAAAGGAAGGCTAAACACAAGGTAGTATTTTTAGATTGGAATCTAGGACACAAAGAGAACATTAATGGAAAAACTGATAAAATCTCAAAAGTCTAGAATTAATAGTAATGCACTAAAATTACTTTCTTGACACAACCGTGTCAATTATGCAAGAGAAAATCAGGTCACACATGCAGGGACCCTCTATACCATCTTTGTAATTTTGTAAATCTAAAATTATTCTAAAAACATGTATTTACACATACACAAATGAATGTTGTGCTTTAAAAGACTCAAATACCAGTGAGCAGAAAACTGGCCTCAATATAATAAAATAAAATAAAGAGAGTGGCCACCCAGTCTCTTAATGGAGCGGGGCTGAGAGCAGATTTCCCCAGAACCCAGGACGGCCGGGGCCACCGTTAACGTTAAAGCCGTCTTTGTCCAAGTCCAGATGCAAAGGGCTATTCCAAGTCTGTGCTGCAGCTACATTTTTACCAAATTAAACTGAAACCCAGGCCTATTACTTTACACAAAACAGGAAAGGGCTTGAATGAACTTGTCACCCAAGATAGAATGAAAAGACGAAAGAGGCTCAAGAAACCCCGGCATAAACTCTTCCACAAGGATTCTTAAGGACACCTGGACACATCCCCCAGGCACAAGGTGAAGACAAATGGATTTCCTCTGAGAGGAATGACTAGCAGACTGGGAATTAGCCATAGAGTAGCAAGTTTTTATATGTTAGTTGGTTTATAAAATAAAGTGCAATCTTTTCATTCCCCAGCTCTTTTTTATTTTGTATTTTTAAGATAGGGTTTCCTGGCTATCACTAAGATACCCAGGCACTAAGATATCCAGGCTGGCCTCAAACTTGCAATCCTCCTGCCTCAGCCTCCCAGAGTCCTGCAACTATAGGCACGGCCACCACTCCTGACTTAAAGCAACTTCTAAGGAGTAAAGCCACAATTCAGAAACAGGACTAGAAATACTCAGCCCGCAACCCTTTGTGTTGGTGGTTATTTACCATTACTTCTGAGTTACTCTTTACGTTCAGCTCACTCTGCGTAAATCCTTCAAAGTCTTCAGTCTCTGAGTCAGTGTCCTCTATAAAAATTCTTCTTAGTTCCTCCGTAAAGTATTCAGATTGGAAGTGCACCCCCTGCTAAATTAACAATGCACATATATCACAGATATCCTAAGCAGAGTAGAGATCACTGGGGAAGGGAAGAATGGAGAATTACAGTTCAAGGGGTACGCGTTTCTGTCAGAGACGATGAAAGGTTCTGGAGACAGATGGTAGTGACAATTACACAACATGCCAAATACATTTAATGGCACTGAACTGTATACTTAAAATGGTTAATACGGGAAATTTTACATTATATACATTTTACCACAATAAACACACATACACATTTTTGTAAAGCTTACAGAAATTAAGACCTAAAAGCTAGTTGGGGGTAGCATGTACCTGTAATCCCACCACTAAGGAGGCTGAGGCAGGAGGATCACAAATTCAAGTTCTACCAGGAGCACTTGGATGCTGTCTCAGAAAAAATTTAAAGGGATCAGGATATAGCTCTGGGTGAACGCCCTAGGTTGAGTTCCCAGTAGCACAGACACACAAAAAGACCTTCACATTGGACCATTTCTAAAATATCAAAATGACTGTCAGCTGAGTCACATAAGGCATGACTGCTAAGTGCTGAGCGAATTCAGCTTCTCCTGCACCTGCAAAGCTGGAAACCAGCAATGTCTGCTTTGACAGAGAACAAAAACAAAAAAGGAAAGAGGACCTGCGATGGGAACCTGACTCCCTTCCACACACAGGCTTCCTGACAGTGCCCAGAACCTGGGTCTGCTCCCTGTGGGTGAGCCTGCCTCCCCTTCAGGGCTGGGACCTTCACAGCCCTCAGCCACTGCAGGACAGACTGGTCTCACTCCGTGGCAGGACGGTGACACACGGCTGCCACCCTCCTTGGCCCGGGAGGAGGTGAGAGGTGAGCGACCACAATCCCACCGCAGGTGAGCAGAGGGAAGGACGTCACGTGACTGATCCGCCAAGCACAGCAGTGCACGGCTGGAATCCCAGCACTCAGTGAGACGCCGAGGCAGACGGCAAGTGCGACTCCCACCTGAGCAAATTTGCAAGACCTTGTCTCAAAAATGAAAGAAACTAAAAAGGGGTAGGGATACAGCTCAGTGCAAAGGGCCTAGGGCCAGTTGCCAGTACTGCAAAACAGGAAAGTTATTTCCCAATAATGACTTTTTCCTTCTTTTGCTATACTGCAGTAAAAGGGAACACAGCTCTATTCACAGTGTGTCTGAAAGAAGAATGAACAAACCGCAGAGCTGAAGAGACCCCCGCCCATAGGCAGCCTTCTGAGAGCCCAACGCTCCAGCAGGGCTTCCTCCCCAAGACTCCACAGGCGCCTGCTCCTCCCAGCCCCACAAGCACTGAGCCCTCCTAACGCCACACGGGCGGGGACTCCCTAGCTCCTCCCTGCCTTCCTCTGACTTTAATTACATACTTCTTCAAGGCTCAGATATCTTTGGAAAAAAATAGATACAACAGATGAGCAGATACACGGGAAGAAAGAAATGCCTACATCTAGCATTCTTTAAGCTTAAAAATGTCTCCTATGAATTATTATGGGTAGTTGCAGTGAGTCTGCTCAGAGCTAAATTACTTTGTTCCTTTGTTGATAGCTGTGGTCCAGCTGCTTGGGAAAAAAATACAGAAAAAAGGGGAAGTTTTTTTAAAGTGAAATTCAAATTGTGTGTAAAAGAGACCACAGTCAGCTACACACACTGTGCGCTCAAGTGCACGCCTCTCTGGGCTGGTTAAGATGGAGCACAGTGTGCGGGCCGACAGGCAGAAGACTGGGCTCATCACGGAGCAGGAGCCTGGGAACACAGCCGGCATCTGTAAGGAAGGCCGCCAAGCCCGAGGTCAGAGAACACCCGGCTGCGCCCTGCAGGCCGTTCTAGGACAATGGGGTCTGTCTGCACTTCATGACATATCCAAAGCTCCCACCTCAGGCCTGAGGAGAACAGATCAAGCCTTAGAGCAGTGAGCCCAACCTTCCAATCCTTCCGCCTTTTCTATCCTTTATACTGGCCTAGGAGAGCAGCGGGCAGCCTGGAGAAATCACATCCTTGGTGACCAGGCCTGGTGGAAAAAAACAACCTGCCTGCAATCCTAAACTGAAGCTTGTGCTCTGATTTTCCTTCCTTCAAAGCATATCAAACCTGTCTTTTACACAGCTGTGTACGAAACCAGTACGAACCCAGAGTCCTGATGCACTGTGAGCGGCAAACTTCACAGGGCTATGTGCTCTCCAGAATGTGTTCATTTTCCTTCAGAATCAGTGCAGGGTCCGATGCCGGGGGCCTCGGTCACCTACAGCTAGTGGGACCACAGCCATAGCAATGTCAGATCCGAAGAGGAATGCCACAGGTGGGTGGGTTTGTTTTAAAGCCTGTGTGACATGAAAACAGACTGGAGAGCAATGGCCTGGCGAACCAGTTTGGTGGCGCCAACACTCACCCACGGGTGCTCATTGTGTAGTCATAAGGGGTGCTGGGTGCTTAAAAGAAGAGGAAAGGGACAACGTGAGGACAAAAGGTTAGAGGCAGGAAAGCGAGAAAGCACCCATCGAGTGTGAGGGCCCCTCTGGAAGGCCAGACCAGTCCGTCCGAGACCACGGCGAGGGCCAGGGCTGCCAGGAAGACACAGGCAACACAGCACACGGAAGGGAAGGAAGTCTGGAAGCAGCAGCCTTTGGACGGGACCTGAACCGGGACCACGTCTAGGACACAGTAAGGAGTGCACAGGCAGGACCAGCTGTGCACCAGTGGGCAGAAAGCACAGAACCACCCACGAGGGTCCCGGAGTGCAGCAGGGCGGGAAGGGAGCCAAGGAAGTTGCACTTGGACCATCTCAACTGCCAAGAAAATGGATGTGACGCCTTCAGCAAGTCTTCCCCTCTTTGAGCTTCAGTTCCATCTCCTGTAAAATGGGCCACGCAACACTTCCACCTGCCCGGGAAGGTCCGTGGAGAAGGGCAGTGTCTGCATAAAAGGCACACGGCACACAGTCACAGCCGTCCACGGCCTGCTGGGGTCGGGGCGGGGCAGTGGGAAGGGCAGACATGATGGGAAAAGTTGTCATGGCAGCAAAAGCAGTGGCACTGCTTCTCAACGCCCAGCACATGCCCAACTGTGCCCTGGGCCCTGTACGCTGCTCAGAACGGTCCTCAGAAGGATCTGCCAGGCTGCGTGCTCCCTCACCGCCTGACCCTGCTGAGGAACCGGCGGAGCTGTGACCAGTGCAGCCCACAGGAGATCCCAGCGTACAGGTGAAGGGCTGAGGGCGGCTGCGGAAGGAAGAGAAGGGAAGGCATGTACGCGTCCGCAGCTCCTGGAGGGCAGCCAGGGAAGCGGGAAAGGAGCAGGAAGAAGCGCAAGCAGGATCAAGAATTACAGGTGCGTATCTTTCTAAAATGGGGAAGCCAGACAAACAAGGAGGGGAGGGAAAACAGCGAGTTCACTGTGGCGTGAAGAGCCCGGAGCAGTCCAACTGGCGGTCAGAAATACGCCGGGGGCTGGACAGAGAAGCCGAGCTGCACATAAAAACAGCAGCAGCCACGCAGGACAGCTGATGTCAGTGAGATTGCTAATCGTGAAAAGGTCGAGCACGAAGTGCTAGGAAATACCCACATGTAGGGACAGGAAAAAAGATGAGAGTGGACAGCACAAGGTCCAACACAGAGGGAGAACCAGAGGAGTGAACGGAAGTGACCAGTAGGGTCCAATGCTGTGGAGACATCCAATAAGATGCGGCCCAGAGACCGGGCAGGCTGTCAGCCCCGGAAAGCACCGTGCCCACCGAGGCCGACACACACGCAGTGATCAGAGTAATGAGCAGGCTCTCCTGCACACGCAGCTGACTGCTTCCCTTCTTGGGTCTGCTCCGCTGAAGCAAGGTGGGTTTCGTTTACAGTCTTTGAGGAGAAGCTGTGGTAAGAGGAAGAAGGAGGAGTTCTACGCGTTACAATGAACTCGGAAGAAAATGCCACTGACGGCTAGATGTTTTGATGGGCCTTTCCACAGCTAAGGCACAATATAAACCTCCAGGAATCTAACTCTCAGAGAACTGTGACTTGTGTTAGCTACTGATCAAAGTAATTAAAGAAAGAATAATGCTCTCCCCAGCAGGTGCAAGAGTGAGGTGCCGATACTCTCCCTGCAGGACCACAGCGAGACAATTGTCTCACAGTCACCACCCATTCTGCGTGTGCCTCACTGCCCATGCGGTGCAGGTCTGCAGAGCGGGCCGGCCCTCCCCTGCCAGCTGCGTGGGAGGGCTCTGCACACCGCCTCACCCCAGGTGACAGCCAAGAAAATGCATTTGATCGTGTGAGGTCCTTTTATTGAAAAAATGTATTTTAACGGGCAGGATTAAAACAGCAAACACGAACAGAACCCTCTCACCGGGTCCTTAAAACGTGAAGGCATAACGCTTCTAAAACGCACTGCTCAGGAACTAACTGATGTCACCAATCTTGTACCATGCTGAAATCAAAGAACATCCACGTCAAGAAGCAGGCTTCCACACCAACACCTGCCTCAGAAAGAAGCATCCGTACCTGTTTCCTCAACTCCAGCGAGTCAAAACTATCGCAGCTCTCCTCTGAGGACAGGGTTTCCATGGGAACATCATCTCGGAAACCAAGGAACTCTTCCTCATCACTGGGGGCGTTAAAGATGTCAGCTACTTCTTTAGGGATCTGTTTGAGATTCAAAAGGAAAGGATAAAGCTGGGGCTGCTGCAATCACTTAGATTCCTGGAGGAGAGCAGCAAGCGTCATCGCCTGTCCTATCACATTGCCATGGTCACCCAGAAAGCCGCAGTAACTCTGAACAAAAATGGCTTCAGCTGTGACCTCAGCATAAGATAAAAGACAAGATTTCTTCCAGTTCCAGACACAAGCCCTATCTTACACAGAATGGTGAGGCCATGCCTAGGCAGAAACCACCTCTGAGTTCTTGACAAGGAGACTCAAAGGGTGGCAGGGAAGAAAGAGAAAATAAGCAATCAGTTTCTGAGAAACCAGCGATCCTTTTCCTCTTCAATACCACTTACATATTAAAAAAAAAGATTCCCTCAAATGTTAAGCTCTTTTCTTAAATAATCTCAACCTATATTCTCTTTCTGTTGTCATATGTTGATTCAGATATAAAAGTTCATACAATGAAACTAATGGTGTTCTCCCTTTTCTATACTTGAGATCAATTTACGTAGCTGTAAAATTAATTCCAAGAGAATGTAAATGCTATTAGGGGCAATTACTCCCACAGAGAATGCTGTCAACACATTTAATCTAACAAATAGTATTTTTCTGGGAATTCCTTTTTTCTCCCATTTTCCAAGAAGTTCAAACAGAAAAATGTAAATTTTTTTAAAATCAGAAACACCTACAGATTCTTTACTAAGAGCCACCATTTGTCTCCATATTTGCTTTTTTTCTTCCCCTTTCAACAAACATTAGGCTGAACCATAGACCAGTGATGGCGAACCTTTTAAAGCTTTCAATCATACAAACAGCCCACTGCGGCACCCAGGCCACAGGTTCGCCACCAGTGCTGTAGATATCTGTTAACAGGTCTATCTCCACAGTGTGGTAGGAGCAAACCTAATGTATGTGTACCTACACTCTGTTTAACATTATCTGCACACACATTAATATGTCGTAAAATACTTCGGTGTACATCTCCCCAGGACAAGGATGTTCTTCTGGAGAATGACAAAAGCACAATCATACCTAAAATAATTAACATTAATTCTATAACATCATTTACTATAATTATTTTGATGATGGCACTGTCCCCAAAATGTCTTTTACAGCTTCTGAGGGGCCAAGAGAACCCACTCAAGTAAGGCTCATGCATTGTACCTGACCCCTTTTTATGACACCACTGTGTGTTGTTTTTCACAACTGACCATTTCGGATAACCTGGCACAAATGCCTTGTGAAATGTCATGCATTCAGAACTCACCTAATTCTTTTCTCAGGGTTAGGTTCAGGTTAAATATTTTTGGCACCAACTCTATACAAGTGAAACACTTCTCAATGCACTGCACATGGAGGCACGAAGTGTGCTGTTATACCATTATGGATTAGTACTGGTTTTTAAAAAATTAATTCTAAAAATTTTCAAACTTTTCAGAAGTGGAGTAGTAGAATGAATATCCATACTGACCCCCAGTAATGACCCGCCATGGCTAATCTTGCTTCCTCTGCACCTCTACCCAAATTATGTAATGAAGCCTCCATACAAATCCCCAAGGATGGGCTCATCAGACAGCTGAGGCTTGCAGAGGAGCTGAAGCAGAAAGGTGCACAAGACTCCCCCACACGCAGGAGGGAAGCTTACTCCAATGCAGACTGAAGCTTCTGCGCTGAAGACACTTGTAGACCTCCCCCTATCCATCTCTTCACCTGACTGATCTTGTGTATCTGTTAAATTTCCTTTATAATAGACCAGTAAACCTAAGTATGTATTTTCCTACGTTCTGTGAGCAGTTCTAGCAGAGTAATCAAATCCAAGAAGGGATGCAGGAAACTCAACTGGCAGTCCTTTGGCCAGAAGTTGCAGAGGCCCAGAAATGCAGCACAGCTGGCATCTGAAGTGGGAACCCAATCTGCGGTTCTGATGCTATTCCTCCAGGTCAGCAGTCAAAAGCAAATTAAATTAGAGGACATCCAGCTGATTCTGCTGTGGACTTGCTTGCTGGCTTGCTAGTGGGAAGAAATCTATTCACAGAAAGGATTTGTACTATGAAATGAACACAAAGGAAGAGAAACTGGGTTTATTTTTCTTCAACAGAGTTAGACATTCTAGCCTTTTTCAATGGACAGAGCAAGAATAATTTAAGTATCTTAAAAAATAAATTCATAATGACACCTTGAATTTAAATCCATAAACCCCATATTGGTATCATCCTTCCCCCACAATGAGAACTGTAACTCCCAATATGCTTACCAATGTGCTTTCTTACAGTACACTCAAAACAGTGTCAAACTTATACCACCGACATTCTGCCCACAAACTGGCCTTACAACACAGTCCCACTAGATACTAGATCTCCTTTCTTGACTGTGCTTGGGAATGCAAAAGAGATTCCTTAGGACTTCCCATTTCATTAGAGTACATTAAGAAGTAAGGTCCCCCCCTCAGCCAGATGCAATGGCACATGCCTGTCATCCTAGCACTTTGAGAGTTCAAGTCCCACCTGGGCAATTTAACAACTTGGCAAGACCCTGTCTCAAAATTTAAAATAAAAGGGCTTGGGGCCATAGCTCCCTGGCAGCGCACCTATGGATTAGATCCCCAATACCAAAAAAACCCCCTCAAGGGTCAAGATTTAAGAACAATGATTTTGGGGCTGGGGATTTAGCTCAGTGGCAAAAGCGCCTGCCTGGCAAGCGCAAGGTCGTGAGTTCGGTTCCCAGTACCAGAGAAAAACAAAAACAAAAAAAAACAATGATTTTTACTCACTCACCAGAACAGTCTTACGTGAAACTGACATTTCTTTTTTAAATTGAGTGATGGAGGTGATTAACGAAATGACTACTAGGTAGAATTTTTTGCCATAACCTTGACTCACACCAAAGGCCAGGAGTTTTCTCTACTTTTATTTTCACACAATTAATGCAAATATCAATACAACAAAAACCGTAAGTAATATCTGAGTATCATTATGACAATAAATTTGCTCTCATCTACCACTAAGAGCCTCAGGCGGGGGAGATCTCCCAGCCACTTTGACTGCTGGGCAGCACAGAGAGCTCTGTGTGTTCTAAAATTACATGCATTCTTTGAATTCTCTTTGAATTGAATTTTACATTTAGGTCCTATTAAAAAATTACTAACCCCTGACCCACTTATTTTTTTAAATAATTTGAATGATTGCTTAAAATTCGCTAGAAATTAACAGTTCAGTCACACGAAGTCTAACATTTTTAGAGAATGTAAATCCAGAGTCTAGATTCTACAGTTCAATGAATAAAGCAAATACTTTCTCATCATCTAATAAAATCACCCACAAGGAAAACACGAAACACTAAAGTCTAACCCCAAGATGATTCTTGAAGGAAAAATCAAAACTTTTCACCAAGAAGAATGTTACAACCTTATCACTTCAGAGACACCTTTTGCTGTTGCTCAGGACTCATACAAAACACTTTGAGAGGTTGAGGCAGGGGGATTACAAATTTAAATTCCACCCGGGGAAATTAGCAAGATCTTGTCCCAAAAATAAATAAAGAAATAAAGAAATAAAGGCTGGGGATGTAGTTCAAAGGTAGGACATCCTAATTCAGTCCCCAGTACTACAAAAAAAAAAACTTTAACAAGTTGAGTATGTTATCTTTAATGTACTAACACTGAGTTTAGTCCCTGAGGCAAAAGGGACAGCACGTCAATTTCTGCCTACTTCTTTTTGATTCTTCGCCATTTTACAAGTCAAAGGGCTCTGCCTGGGGACTCTTGTTTTAACATCAATGACTCCAGGAGGAGCGCTCCATGCATGGACTTAATGGGAGCACACACAGGGATCACAGAGGCTGGGAGACAGGAATAAATTGCTTCTGGCGGCACCTGCACTACTCCTGCGCCACGGCGCAGAGCCCTTGGCTGCTGTGACGCCGCTGTGTCACCCGGCTCATTCCTCCTCCATCTGTGACTTCTGCATCCGCTCCCGAGGCGCCATCCAGGCTGTACTTACCGACAGCAAAAGGAAAGAACATGCTTTCAAAAATGCACTTTGCATTGTCGGGGTGTTCAGGGCTCTGAACTTCAAAAGGTATTAAAAGAATTCCAGGTCGGGGCTGGGGATTTAGCTCAGTGGCAAAAGCGCCTGCCTGGCAAGCGCAAAGTCATGAGTTCGGTTCCCGGTACCGGAGAAAAACCAAAAAAAAGAATTCCAGGTCATCACAAGCCCCAGGGCTCAGCAAAATTCTCTGTAAAGTATCCTCGTATCCTCAATGCCACAGACCATTTAACTGAACAGATGCAACAAAGGGGGCAAGATCTGTTCGGCAGAGACTTGATTAAAACGGGACACTCTTCTAATGGGCAGCTAGTCGGACAGTGTATCAATACATGTAACCTGAGGATCTGTCACATTCCGGTGCCACTCAGCAATGATCCAGTGGGCAGCTGTGCAGCCTAGACAGGGAGCAGCTGAATTTCTTTTAAAAGTTTATGTCCCCCTTGGTTACAACAATATCAATCCTAAGAGTCCCAAAAAGAAAAAGCAAATACTTAGGACCAAAATACAACTATTTCCTAACCAGTGGATGATACTTACATTAGTCAAACTTACACAGAATTAGGGTAAGTGCAATCCAACTATCCAAAACAAAGTCAAGGAAATCCCCTTCTGAAAATGAAGACTGTTTCATGACTCATCATGACTTCTTAAAACTCCAGACACATGGATGCCATTCCTAACTCTGAGGTACACACTGGCTCACACATTGGCTTGCATTTATTTGTTCACTCTGTGCTTGTTCGAGTTAGTGTGAATACCGAAAGTCAAGTTTGAACCAGTATTCAGTAGGGACTAACTTACAGCAGACTATCCATAAATCCCTGCTGAAAGCATGTATCAGATTTTACAGTCCTTTTCCTAGGAAGAGTCTGTTTTCCTAGCAAAGGTAGAGCAGGTAAAAGACACTCTGTGACACAACTATGCAAGGGGAATTGAGAATTTTCACCCAGA